GCCAGGCACCTCAAGCCATTGGTGGCAGGCTTGCAGCAGCAAGTCCAGAAAGTGCACCAGAAGGTGCAGGGCGAGCTCTGGCTCCATGTTGCCACCTGCGGCGGCGTCCCCGAAGGGAAGCACCGACACACACGGGCGCAGAGATCAACGCTTTGCTGTCCCTCGGCGAGGTTGGCAAGCAAGCAGGAAAAGCTGAGAACCGGCTGTCCGGGGGGGTCCCTTTAAGCACAAGCCTCAAGTAGCCTCAGACAGCAGCCACACAAAGCAACTACTGACCTGATGCCCTGCCAGAACCGGTTTCAGCCGCCCTTAAATGCCCCCCTGCATCCAATCAGTGTGGACGCGCTAGTTCGAATTAGCAAAACGCTAATTCAAACTAGTTTTTAGTTCTAGATGCGTTAGTTGGAATTAGCTTAGTTCGAATTAACTAATTCGAACTAAGTTAGTTCGAATTAGCGCTGTAGTGTAGACGTACCCTCTGAGATCTCAGCAATTCCAGTGAAGGAAAGTGGATGGTTTAAAAACAAAATCCCACCTAAAGTAAAATGACTATGTTGAATAAACAGTCCTGGAAGAATAAATAATACACAGTGTGAAAGAAGTATGGAATAGCACAGATATCTAATATAGCCATGCACTGAATTGAATTACTGCCCCAGACATATTGGTATACCTAATACAAACCTATATTTTGGCTTATGCCATTTAATACAGCATTATGGCTGGGACTTTAAATACCTCAAAGTCAAAATCTTGGCTTTTAGTTTCCCAAGGAATGTGCTGTGGTCTTTTTATGTTGCATATGGTGTTGGCTTGTTATTCCTTAATGTGACTAGCTAGGGTTGCCTAATAATTGTTGCTGTTAAACCATGTATTTGAATCTTCTGTATGTAATGTATTAGAAATGTCAGTCATAATGTTGCATTAACATTATTTATCTTCTGTGCCACCCTTTTATTTTAATAATCAGCTGCAGACTTAGAAAAGAACATTGTGTTCAATAACACTTTTG